GAGTGAGTGTGTGTGTGTGAGTGTGTGTGAGTGTGTGAGTGTCTGTGAGTGAGTGTCTGTGAGTGAGTGTCTGTGAGTGAGTGAGTGAGTGAGTGACTGTGAGTGTCTGTGAGTGAGTGAGTGTCTGAGTGTGTGTGTGTGTGTGCGTGTGAGAGAGAGAGTGAGTGAGTGAGTGTGTGTGTGAGTGTGAGTGTGAGTGCGTGCTTGCGTGTGTGCGGTCTTGGCACTCTTGCGGCGAAGTCTAAAAATGCCCTGTAGCCAAAGCGCCAGTGTGTGTCAGGTAATCCTAAACCACAGCTGAACACACACTCTCTCTCTCTCTCTCACACACACACACTCACACTCACTCACTCACTCACTCACTCACTCACTCACTCACTCACTCACTCACTCACTCACTCACTCACTCACTCACTCACTCACTCACTCACTCACTCACTCACTCACTCACTCACTCACTCACTCACTCACTCACTCACTCACTCACTCACTCACTCACTCACTCACTCACTCACTCACTCACACACACACATATGCAGCCTCTAACTGGATCACACGCACTCGGTCTCTGACTCCCATGATGCTCTGGGGCAGCTGCTGCGTCTGGATGGGCTTCACGGAGACGTCCTCTGTACGTTCACACTCCGCATCGCCCGCTGAAACACTCGACTCGATCGCTTTATCAATCTATACACACCTGAAACACAGAAAATGTGAGAAATGCATGCTGAATTGCATTGCATAGTGTCCCCTATACACAGATCTTGACCATGGGTTCCAATCCCAGGCAAAGCATGCACTCACACACACACACACACACACGCACACACACACACACACACACACAAAGAATTGTGCAATATCTATGAAACAATTTGACCAATTTAATTGATGTTCCTTTAGGACATAATGAGTTACTTTGTTCATTTATTTATTTAATTTATTTTTATAAAATTATTTGTAACAACTTAAAAAAAAAAATATATATATATATATCTGCTTTAAAACATAATTATAATGAATTTATGATTATAATAAATTATACATGTAATATAATTAATAAATTAGTATATATTATATGTATAATGTAGAATTAAAACATAACAAACAATTATTTTATTTTTAAAGAAATGCTTTTTAAAAATAATAATAATTATTATATATTTAATAAGCATTCTTGAGAACTGGACCAATGGCTCAGAACATGTGCAAAAAAGCCTTTAAAATTAGCAAAAATTACTTATAGCATATAGTTACTATATAACACCTAATTCTAGAAAGATGCACAAACACCCGAGTCTCTCTGATGCATCTGTTTTAAAGCACAAAAACAATGAAGAACAAGAAAATGAGAAGAAACACGATAGCTTTGCTGCACGGACCTAATAAAACCTTGAGAAAGCAGAAGAAACGGAGTTGAGGAGCAGAAAGAGTAAGAGGATGTGAGGCCCGAGAGCTCGAGTTTCAATCATCAGTGAATCCCTGAGAGAACGGATCGACTTCCAGCAATGAAACCCAGCAGAATCAACACAGCAACCCGGAGAAACAGCCTTCATACGATCATACGCTCGTCGTAAAGTGCCAGGAAACCTGAAGATGGAGAAATCTGATCCCAGATCACTTTAAATCCAGCTCATTGTTTCCTCTATTAGCTTTGGGAAAAAGCCACCAAAAACAGAGAAACTTTCCACTGATAAACATATTGCTGTGGGAAAATGAAGCTGAAGTCCTTGGTTTCATTAACTCTCATAATGCATTCCTGAAAAATCATTCTTTAATAAAACAGTCATATTTTATCTGATCAGCAACTTGAGTGAATGTGAAAAGATGTCAGCGTTTTGAATGTTACCACGTTATTACTGCATTTACCCCCTTTTTTATGCATTCAAATTACACATGAACCACACTGAAAAATCTATGATGCAAAATATTTCTATATTTTTGTCAATATTAATAAGAAATATTATTAGAATATATATTTGTATGAAATTTATATAAACATATACAATTACCAGTATTATTAACCCCAGTGGAATGAATGGAAATTAATTCAATTAGTTTGAATTGGTCAAAATTAGTCCAAATTTATCCAACCTACATATTTATAACAAAACAATACCAAAACAACATGAATGTTACTCTGAAAAGTAAAAAAATAAAATAATTACTTGCATAAACTTTTACATTCTGATAAAAAAAAGTAATCAGTTTTTCATGACAGTAGACGTACATAGTCATGTTCAACAACAAAATTCCGTCTCCAAAGTGTGTGAGATACGGAGAAAAGGAGAAATATTTTTTACAAAAGTTTCTGACACTAATATAACTCCATAGATCATTTAACAGAAAGTATTTTTGGCACTTCTGGTGTTCCAGACACACCCGGGTCAAAATGACCCGAACATTTTACATGGTTAATATCTCTTTAAAAAATAACTGGAAAGAATCAGGAAAAAAAATAAATGCGTATTTTGAGGCTCTTAAAGCGTTTGCAAAGTTTTGTTCTCTTACTAAAAACGATGCATTATTTAGACATTTTTATGCATCTCTTCAAGGTCAAAACAGACTTAAATGTGTAACTTATGAGGGTTAAATTGTTAACTTTGTCAAACTAGTTGAGGGTAGTTTGAGCTCGTATCTACAAAAACTCTATAAAACCTGCTCATTTCCACTGAAACATGAGATGCAGAAGAACCTCCAGAAACAACATCTGGAGCTGCGCGCACGCACGCACTCACAATCACACTCACACTCACACACACACTCACACACACACACACACACACACACACACACACTCACACTCACACTCACACTCACACTACACACACACACACACACACACACACACACACACACACTTTCTGTTTCTCGCAAGCGTCTCTGGTTTCTGCAGAAGATTCATTCTGCTCTTTTCACTGCTAATGCAACTTTAGAGCTACGACACGGATTGAGTTTCCATCCGGCGCCGTTCTGAGGGAAAACCCACAGACACAGAGAAATACGACTGATAAACAGCGTAGAATAAACCGTGGCATCTCATGTAACAGTGTTGTTTGTGTTAGCAAGGTAATGGTAATGCATGTACTGTGCTGCGTTTAGTGAGCATGTGAAACACTAGTAGAGCGCGGTAATACCATGGTGCTGAATGATTACCACATACATGTACCATGATATTTACATAGTATTCCATATAATAAATACTACATATATTGGTAATAAAACAAATAATCAAAAAACATGCACCATGGTACTTTAAAATAAATATTTGTACATATTGTACATAAACTCATACATACTATCACGATGTCCAGCTGGAGTGCCCACGAGCTCCTCTATTTAACCTTTACCACTGTTACACAGACTCCATTTCCCATAACACCCCATGCCTAGGAACTGATTGCACTCACAGCTGACTCCATTCAGGAGGACTTTAAAAGACGCACACAAACACACTACATCACAAAGTCTTGTTTCACTGCTAGCGGACATTACTGAGCGTTTCTTCTTGTTGCTATTGCCATTGCCTTGCCTTGTTTTTGACCTTGGACTGTTTACATGTTTTATGATTGTTTGCTGCCTACCTTGACCATTGCCTGTTTCTGGATTACTCTTTTGCCTTGCCTTGGATACTGCTGTTTGCTGGTGTTGGACCCTGCCTGTTTAATTACAAACTGTTTTAATAAAAGCTTGCACTTGGAGCTTCACTGTCATGCCCAGTCCGTTACACATACATATACATATATTTATACATAAATTACTAGTTAACCCATAAAACATACAGAATTATTATTATTATTTAAAATGCTTTCTATATGTAGATATAATCAGGGTTTGAAATTAACACCCACCAACCCGCCAAATGCGGGTTTAAATCAGCTGTGGCGGGTAACGCTGTCAAATCACTAGCCAATTTGGCGGGTTACTTTTCGTAAGTTATGTTCACTCATTAATTTCTTTGGGAAGTTCATGCAAGCCAAATCTGCGCAGGTTTAGCGCAAATACTGAACTCGTGAGACATCATAACATTATCGAGTATATTGCAAAAACCAAACAAAACACACCTAAGTTACAAAGTGCACGCATACGCGACGTGATGTGGTCTGGTTAGACTAACTTTGTGCTGTGCGCATTTAGAGTGCATTCTTTCATTGCATGATTCAGTCTGTTAATATGCATTACGAATGATCACATAATTCAAGATAAGGGGGTTGGAAAATGTATATATTTATATCAATTCATATAGTTAATATCACACGAAGAGTGCCGTTTTAAAAAAAAAAATCAGCATGGTTACAAATGTGATATTGATTTTATACAACAGTTCAATAAACAATAAGTTAATATCAAGAGACTTACGTTTTAGACACCATATTGGCTGTTTTTGCGTTATTTCGCTAACAGAAAACATTCCAAACACAGCTCTGTTTTGTGTCTCTGAGCAAAATCAACCATTTAAATGATTCGGTTCATTCGCAATGACTCACTTAACAGTGCTGACCACACAGAGTATGAAGAATATCAAAAACTTTAGAAGTCAGCTGTCCACGGTATCCTTAAGATATTAGCACAATAACACACTCAGCTAAATATTGTCTAATTATCTTTATCAATAAAATCCCAGAAAATATTGAGATATTATTTTTTGTCAATATCGCACACCCTTAGTACAGACACAAAATTATTTGCAACAGTCGCTTTGTCACGCCCAGTGTAGACGGCCTCAATCTGTTGGTTTATTTCGGGGTTTTTTGGCTGGTAGAAGTTATGAATGGCCGGTAACTTATTATAAATATGTATAATTATTTAATTTATTTACAAATTATATTTTCTATTACACAAAATATTTTTATTTTTGAAATAAGAATAATTATGTGCAGTTAATTCATACATATGCATTTTTTATTTTTTGTAAAAATACTGTTTTTAAATTTCACTTATTTTACAAATACATATAATTAATTAATTAATATATAATATAAACATGTATAATTATTTATAATAATATAAATTATAAATATGTTAAATTATTTTATTTTATAAAAGTATAAAAAAAATTTTAATTACACAATTTTTTTTAGAAAAGTATCATTATTTACATTGAATTAATATATATAATAAGCATAATAATTATAATAATAATATAATGATAATAAAAATAATAATAATTAATCATTTTTAATACAGATTATATATAGCTATTTTATACA